CATTCCATATAACTGTTGCACTGTGTGATCTACACATCACATATAACTTTGACATTAGCGTGATCTACACATCACATATAACTGTGACACTAGAGTGGTCTACACATCCCATATTCACTAGCGTGATCTATACATCACATATAACTGAGACACTAGCGTGATCTACCCATCACATATAACTGTGACACTAGCGTGATCTACCCATCACATATAACTGAGACACTAGCGTGATCTACACATCACGTATAACTGAGACACTAGCGTGATCTACACATCCCATATACACTAGCGTGATCTACCCATCACATATAACTGTAATACTAGCGTGATCTACACATCACCTATAATTGTAATACTAGCGTGATCTATACATCCCATATACAATAAAATGATCTACACATCACATATAACTGAGATACCAGTTTGAGCCACCCATTTGTTTTACCTTAGGCCAAATGACGTCATCTCTGTCGTTAAGCCGATAACGACCTGTCGCAGACATCCCCTAATGGAACTAATGACGTATGCAAATGGGAACAGGCTGACCAGGTCAGGGTCAAGACTGGCCGCTCACACAAGAAAAAGTGCGAGCATTTGTTTCACTGGACGGTTTTCTATTAGGTGAAGATTGGTGAGAGACACAACAATAGTTTAAACATTAACAATGTCTGAGCAAAATAGGAAAATGGTTTTCATTCCGTCTTATTGTTTCTGTCTCGCAGTCTGACTCTCTCTCTCTCTCTCTCTTGTTCTCTCTCTCTCTATCTTTATCTTTGTGTGTGTCTATCTCTCTCTGTTTATCATTCTCGGATTCTTCTACTTTTCCTGCCTTTCATCCCCTCTTTCTGTCTCTCGTTTTGCACCAATTATTTCCTGATTCTGTTTCTACTTCTTGTTGTGATTCTTATTTTATCAATATTTCTGCCTATTTTAACTCTTTCATATTTCTTTGTTTCTGCCTTTCTTTCTGACTATCTCAGCTTTATCTCACTCAATCTCTCTCTGTGTCTACAAATAAAGTTATCTCGAGCAATCCTATATAGAGGACACCGCACACTAATGACAAATCCAGCATAATTTGAACCACCAGTTTTATTGGCTACCATACACCCTATGGTCGCCCCATCCCCATGTTTTTATGCTTAGAATAGTTTGACCCAACAACAGCCTGAGACACTAAACTCGCGACATTTAGTTTAGCAAGCGAACGCTCTACCCCCAGACCAAATCCAAAGATCTGTTTGTGTCAGTCATTTTTTCCCACTACCTCTTGATTGATCTTAGTACATCATCGACCTCAGAACAGACTCAGACAAACTCACCCTGGCCAAGTTCACACCATGCACGAGCTTAAAACATCATCGACCTCAGAACGAGGCTCAGAAAAACTCACACTGACCAAGGTCACACCATGCACGAGCTTAAAACATCATTGACCTCAGAACGAGGCTCAGAAAAACTCACACTGACCAAGGTCACACCATGCACGAGCTTAAAACATCATCGACCTCAGAACGAGACTAACTCACCCTGACCAAGGTCACACAATGCACGTGTTTAAAACATCATCGACCTCAGAACGAGACTAACTCACACTGACCAAGGTCACACAATGCACGTGTTTAAAATATCAGCGACCTCAGAACGAGGAAAACTCACCCTGACCAAGGTCACACCATACACGTGCTTAAAACATCATCGACCTCAGAACTAGACCCAGACAAACTCACCCTGACCAAGTTCATACCACGCACGCGCCTAGCTCTCAACATAATGCTTCATGCTCCAGCAGTATTGGAGAAATGAGTTATTGATGTTCCTGTGATCTGCTCATCCGCCTAACGTCATAGAGTCGTGTTCAGTACCAGCAAAACTGATCCACACGGCGTCATAGAGTCACAATCACTACCAGCAAAACTGATCCACACGGCGTCATAGAGTCACAGTCACTACCAGCATAACTCATCCACACATTCTTACGGAGTCATTATCAAAGTTCATTATCTCTTAGCCTCGAACACTCCCAGCAATTCTCAACCACACTTCGTGACTTAGTGATATTTTCACAGAGTCAAGCTGACTCCTTCACAGAGTCAAGCTGACTCCTTCACAGAGTCGAGCTGACTCCTTCACAGAGTCGAGCTGACTCCAGAGACTCCAGAGTCGAGCTGACTCCAGAGTCGAGCTGACTCCTTCACAGATTTAAACTGACTTCTTCACAGATTCAAACTGACTCCTTTACAGATTCAAACTGACTCCTTTACAGATTAAAACTGACTCCTCCACAGAGTCGAGCCGACTCCTTCACAGAGTTGCTGACTCAATCAGTCGAGCTTGTTTCATTCACAAAGTCGAGCTGACTCCTTCACAGAGTCTAGCTGACTCCTTCACAGAATCGAGCTGAGTCCTTCACTGTGTCACTGACTTCTTATCTGTGTCGCTGACTCCTTCACTGAGTTGAGCTGACTCTTTCACTGAGTTGAGCTGACTCCTTACTGAGTTGAGCTGACTCCTTCACTGAGTTGAGCTGACTCTTTCACAGAGTCGAACTGACTCCTTCACAGAGTCGAGCTGACTCCTTCACAGAGTCGAGCTGACTCCAGAGTCGAGCTGACTCCTTCACAAAGTCGAGCTGACTCCTTCACAGAGTCGTGCTGACTCCTTCACAATGCCAAGCTCCCATACATCAGTGTGGCGGACACGACTGCTGTTGTTGACATTCTCTGTGCCCACCCAGCACGTCAACTCACACATTGGTCGATCTGAAAGGCCTCACACTTGACCTTCACACGTCGAGAGGTCAGGACAGAAATAGAACAATTGTAACACGACGCCTGGGCACCAGTAAACAGTACCAATCGGTAATCGGTTCTATTTGGCTGAAATATTGGCATTCATTTTAATTGAAATGTAGTCAAATAACATGAAATATGAAATACTTTATTATAATGTTTCTTTCTTTAAATCCAATAACGTTTATTTATTGTTTCTGAGATATATTTATGCTGCTTAATTCTTTGAACTGGCTCCGATCGCTTCAAGATAAAAAAACAATTACGTAAATTATATGATCGTTTTTGTATCCGTCGATTCGAAAGAGACTAATATCGAAATACTCAAAAGCTCATCTCACTACTATATTAAACAGTAGGTTCTTTTTTAATTGATTTTGAATATCATTGGATCATCTAATTTTCAATAAAAATAAGTCAGGTAGTTTAGATACTTTTGGGGTCATCCATAAATGACGTCACATTTTTTGACGATTTTACCCCCCCCCCTCCCCTCTGTCACACATCGTCACAAAAAACCAGACCACACCTCCACCTAAAATGACGTCACAACTACTAATTACAGTTGAATTATTTTTTAAAATACGATATTTTTCCAAAGTATTATCTGAACTCTGTCAAATAAAAAGTATATTACAATTTATTAAATCAGTTTTCAAAAGCGCGAAATAATGGCTAAAATTCGTTTTCTAACATTGCTTTTTTCATAAGGCAAAAGTGTGACATCACACCATCTAAACACCCCCCTCCCTACGAGTGTGACGTCATCTATGGACGACCCCTTTTTTTCATGTCGTCTTTCATATTTACCCTCCCTCCCCCACCCTCTACACAACCTACTAAACACAGTTCAAAATCAATGCTCTTCGTTATCAAATACATGTCAAACGTTTGAATATGTTTTACAAAACTCCCACTGCATTTAGTCCATTGCCTACAACAGTGCTAGAATAGCTGTGTAATGAGTTTTTTGTGAACTGTAGTGTAAAGTAGTCACAGTAGAATCCATTGTGGTATTTGGCACAGTGATTGTACCGTGATTGGTACAGTGATTGATACAGTGATTTGTACACAAATAAGACATATAAGCTCATACAGACAAAATATTTATGTAAAAATACTCAACAGGAAAGTAAAGTATATCTTCAGTTTTTATTAAAATGTATGCATCAACCAACACAAAAACCCAACAAATAACAGATCAAATTTGGAACATTATTTTCAAAATGTTTCAAGCAATAAAAAATGTTCACATTATTTCAAATAATGAATAAATAGTCACATTATTTCAAAATGAATAATTAGTCAAATTATTTCAAATAATGAATACATTTTACCACACTGTATCAAAAAATGAACAATTTGTATCACTTTTCAAAAAATGAACATGTATGTCACGGACTATGGCGCAATGAGCATTATCATTACATTAGTTCAAACAGTAAACATTTTTGTCACATTAGTTCAGACGGTAAACATTTTTGTCACATTTGTTTAAAAAGTAAATATTTTTGTCAAATAAGTTCAAACAATAAACATTTGTGTCACATTAGTTCAGACAGTAAACATTTCTGTCACATTAGTTCAAACAATAAACATTTTTGTGACATTAGCTAAAAATGTAAACATATTTGTCACACTAGTTCAAACAGTAAACATTTTTGTCACATAGTTCAGACGGTAAACATTTTATAACCCTACGGAATGCGAGCGAGATGGAACTCACCAGCAGACGGATGAGATGACGTCATCTCAGTGCGAACGTCAGGATCCGACAAATCGATCCGACGAAATCAATAGGATCCACTTTCCTTTCATGTTCGAGAAATGTATTAGAAATATATAGGCCTTGCTGTTATCATTAGCAATCCGAATTCCCGAATCTATTTATAGCAAAGCATCTCGTTGCATGGTGGGTAAGAGGATCAAGAATTCCTCGATCGTTAAATGGATGGAATGAATGATGAACTGAACCACAAGCCGGGTATAGGTTAGTATATACATATATATATATATATATATATATATATATATATATATATATATATATATATATATATATATATATATATACATATATATATACATATATATATATATATTATATAAATATATATATATATATATATATATATATATATATACATATGTATGTATATATATATATATACATATGTATGTATATATATATATATACATATGTATGTATATATATACATATATATGTATAAAGCAACTGCAACTTGGGTTAATCCAGTATTATGCAATAGAATATCAACAACTATTTCTCAACTCATTTTATACATATTTTCTGTAGCAAAGTTGTAGTTTTCCAACCATTTGAAATGAACGTATATTTACATCAAGTATTTAATCAATAATACATTTGAATAAACAATATATGAACATTATTGCAAATTTTAAAAAAGTAATTCGTTATTGAACTTGAAACCACATGAACCTGAACTTTCAATATTTGTAATGAACACGTGCCATACGTTGGGTGTGGAAAATTTAAATTACTGTATGCCTCGGGTCAATTTTTCCCCAATTTCACAGCTGAAAGAATTTTACTCATCGCGTCATTTCACGTCTTTTTGCGCATGACTGGTTTCAAATCTTCACCTTCAAAGAGCTCTATTAGCTTCCTGTCTGTTCAACACATTATCTAAACAATGCAACAGATGAATCAATGTCTTACAAAGTAAACTACAAAGACATATTAAGATTATAATTCATTTGGACTTGTTATAAAACCTATGTTTTATAATTCAAAAGACTGTTTTATTTACATTACATTGAATACTAAAGAATACACGAAAAAATATTAACATGACAAGTATTATCTAGTTCGATTCTAATGGACAACTGTACAGTAATTTACAAGGAATATTTTAATGACGGTGTTAAGGAATAATGGTATGTGAGATTGGGAATGGTATGCACATAATAAGGTTAAAGTGTTAATAATCTAATTAACATATATGTTAGGTATACAATCAGAACGAAAAGTCAATTTGAGTAAAACTCAAATGAGATAAAACTACACATGGTATTCTCGTAGGAAATCTACACACAGGGTAAGCTTTAACAACAGCAGGATCAACGTGTGCAACGTCACATCCTGTACACAATACCAGTCTGACACCTAGCCAGCTACGTACAATCATGATTGCTCATTGTTCAATCAACGATTGAAAATAATCTCAAATCAGCAAATCAAGACACAGAATAATGAGTGACCAATCTTATCGGTTTCAATCAAAATCATTCGTCGTCTGCGTGGGTGACTCTCCATGACGTCATAGCCCCGCCCACTCTTAAGGATGTTTAGATAAAATAAAACAAGACCGGGACTGTATTTATAAAACAGGGCTTCAACCCCTGCCCTGTATATATAGAACCAAACCCCTGCCTCTACCGCTCTCACAGAGAAAAGAAAAAAGTATGAGAGTATGGTAGGATGGCTGGAGCACTCTGGGAACTGTCTGAACGTTTGTATACGGTGCAGGCTTTTGAATTGTTAGCGAAACGAACACCAAAAGCCTTGCAATTTACAAACAGAGCAAACAGATGCCTGCATAAGCCTGCTAGACGCTGCGTTATAAGCTGATCGATCTCTACATTTCTTCCCAACTGTTTACAAACTATCTTAAGGTCGGAATCGACTTTCTATTAAATTTGGAATAGCTGTGCGGATATGCAAGCTGGGGTGAGCCAAGAGTTCAGGCATCCCCGTGGGCTGATAAGGCATTTTAACAATGTACACAAACCACGTCCCTCTCTGTGTAGCACAATCTTTCCTTTGTAAACAACAACGGATATTTGTCCTACTTGACAGGAAAGGAAATCTATTTAAATTAATCCAATCCAACATTTAGGGAGTACAATATGTAACATTAAAGAGAAGACAAGTTTAACAAAGAGACTTGAATACCTTTCTTTTGGTATTCATTACCTAGAAGGTTAACCTAGGAGTACGTTTGATCATGAAACAGTTTGTCTAACTCGGTTTGACTGTCGCTGTTAGCAGCTAACATTCGTAACAAAGTTACTACAAACTTGTAACAAATAACCGTTATACTGCAGGGATAAACCTTGTTTGGATATGAAAGTAAGGAGACAGCTCTAAGAAACACTAAATTAGGTCTAAACACATGTTTCTACATTAAACAGTTATATTCCAATCATGAGCGAGATATCTAAAAACAACGAATATCTAGAAAAATATACTTAGAACTCTAATACGGGGAAAAAGAGTTAACTAAATATCATTAGAGGTTTGCTAGTTAGGGTAACATACAACTTACTGATAGTGTACTGCATTCTACTATCAATATACAACAACGTACTATCAATATACAACAACTTCTGCATAACCAAAAGTAACAATTCATGAAATATAGATGCTGCGGCCAGAACACAAAATAAAAAAAATAAAAAAATAACGAATGTTTACGCTAGTTGCGATGCCGGTGTGACGTCACGTTTCTTGCCGTCCCGCCGACACGCCTGCTTGAGGAAGTTGCTGAGTGCCGACAGCGCCCGCTTGGGCGACCTCGTCCTCCTCTCGGCGGTGAAGGGCTTGGAATGGAACTTGTTCTCCTGTTCGTCCTCCCTGACGGGGGTCAGCTGTTTCTTGATGTTGCACAGGATCCCGACCAGCAGCTCGTCGATGTTCATGTTCAGGGCAGTGGACGTCTCCAGGAAACGGCATTCGTTATTCTGTGCGAATCGTTTGGCTTCTGGAATATTACAAGAAATTGATTGATTAATTTAAAGGCATTGAATTTCATCCAACATTTTCATAACGCGATTGAACTTTATTGATACTTTGGTGTTTGTTTTAAACTGATCGAGATAAAACATAGTAAATTAATCGAAAAAACGCATTGAATATCATCCAACGTTTTCATAAAACAAAAGAATTGTATTGATTATTAATTTTTAAAAATTGATCGGTATAAAACATACAGTAAAAATAACATAGACAGTTACGTCAGAAGCAAATTAAAACTTAGAGCGAGTTAATGAATTTGTTTAATTGATTATAATTAGGTTGGGTTCATTTGTACAATTAAAAAAAAATCTTTAAAATATTTTTGTTTTAGGCATATTTATTTTAATTAATGGAATTCTGTATCAAGACATTTAGTGTACTTTTGTAAACTCTTCTTTGACTTGCAACATATAGGCCTACTGGTTTTCTATCTCTCTAATTCCCTCTACAAATATGTTGGTTGTCTAGCTCCCAATAAAAATGTGTTGGCTCCCTAACTCCCTATAAGCTACGTATACTTTACACTACAGAACTACGATGCAGATGTTTATAGTGAGTAATATGTACTGACCACTAGATGGTACGACCCTCTGTCTAACCAGGTCCGATTTGTTGGCGACTAGAAAGATGGTGCGGTCAGTTCCCAAGTCCTGACGTAGGTAGTTCAGCAGCGTGGTGGCGCGTGTGTACGACTCGGGTTCGGATACCGCATACACCAACACGTAGGCGTCTGCCTTGTAGCACTCAAGGTCACACAACTGTTGGAAAAGAAGAAAAACACTAATTAATTGAACGAAAAAAAAAATCGATTAGTGATCAATGTATTGATTTTACAATATAAAAATATTCGACTACAAGATCTAGTTTCAGTTGGGCTTAAAAAGAAATCGTGATTTAAGTGACGCAATTTTTGACGTCATTATAGCTACGGTGTACGTGACGTCAGCCTCGTGTGACCGTATTTGCAATTCACATTAAAAACAGATTAACACAAATGAATAATTAATGTGTATACTACATAAGAGGCGGCAGGGTGAAAAAATAGAATCGATACGTTTTCATAGGAATCGGAATCGTTCTGAACCATCTGACTGGGGATATCGATTAGAGATCAGCTTTCATAGTGATCGGAATCGCCCAGGTCGATCGGACTGCGATTATTGATTGGCGATCAGATTTGAAGAAATCGATAATCGATGTAGACCCCCTACTGGGAATAATTACAGCGACTCAACAAACAAGGCATTAAACGGACCCTTTCAGCTCATGTTATGTGGGCGACCCGGTAGCTCCCTCCCCCCTCCCACCACACCCCACACCTTCTCCATTGGGCTAAACTTCTAATCAAATTAAATGCTAATTCTATTAGCTTTAAACCCGGGGATTTATTTCCTCAGCGAATTTTTTGTTGCCCTCTAGATTAAAGGTTTGGAAATCAAAAACGGAAATCTGGAAAACTTTCGCTGATTAAAATACAGAAAAAACACGGAGAAAATGTGATTTTTGCACTTTTACGTGAGAGTGATTTGAGAAATAAAGTCAAATATCTTCCTTACGATGAGTTCCAAAATATAATTTTTTTAAAAAGCTAAAACTCCAAGTTTAAAAAACAAAAATTCAAACTACAATGTGTAATGCTTAAAACAAAATAAAATATAATCAATTCATAATGTGAACGTGCTTTAAATTTTCAGTGCATGTTTATTGAAACTAGCAGACGGCAAACGAACTTTTCCATATTGTCAACATCTTGTTTAAACTTAAGGTTAAGAAAAAAAAAATCGGTCGTGCATTTCTCAATTCTAAGCTACGTGATCGAGGTCAGTGCAAACTAGATCTACTGCTATAGTTCTATTATTCGATCTTGTTCATCGATTGGTTAAAACTTGCGTTTCATTCCCTCTGGTTGCAATTTAAATAAAGGAATTTTTAGGAGAAAATAAACACAATGAGGACGTTAGATGGGGCGTAATAATTAGAAATATTACTATTTGTTGATCTCACAATAAACATATATTACGAATATTTAATTCCAAAATATAAGTGCAATATATATATATATATATGTATATATATATATATATATATATACATATATATATATATATATATATATATATATATATATATATATATATATATATATATATATATATATATGTATATATATATATATATATATATATATATATATATATATATATATATATATATATATATATATATATAGCTCCTCGCCCAATTAAATGTTAAGAACTGTAATTGTTAAAATAATTGATTGAATTGAATTGAAAATAAGCAATTAATAGCGTGTATCTTTGGATATTAAGTTGAGGACCAAATTTAAAAAAATAGACTTAATAAAGGTTATGATTTCTCTCAGAATGTGATGATATTGTGGTCTAAACCGTAACGTACTCAGCCCTTCAGGTAAAACTGTTCACACACCGACACCGTACCCAACACCACCGACTTTTAATGGTCTGTTCTCAGGTGAAAAAACAATTCTCTGAAAGCTGGCATTCACGGCGATGCCAAGGTGTGATTGTACGCCCGAAATAATCGATTCTTATTTACTAGACCTTTTCCTGTCGCGGGGGGTGGCGAGATCGATATTCAAAATGGCGTCAGACGCCATCTTTGTTTAAATCTATTTTCATTCACGAATAATATTTGTCGCGGAAAAGTCGACTGATGCAAGACTCCGCAGGGGTCGGGCTTGTTGAAGTTCGCAGTTAATGAGTTCGGTCAACGGGTTAAAGGTTAAATGACTCACGCGAGGCCAGATTTTTAACGCGCGTTGCTACGAACATGTAGTGACGTAGTACACAAAGATCATTAGACGAACTTGTACGAGGTACCGCTGAGAATTACGCTTGAGGACAAAATATTTCTAGAATACACGCTGCAGGGGCAAGTATTTCTCGAATTCAGTTAATTTGGCTTAAGAAGTCAAAAGTACTGTCAAATCTATTTTAGGGCACGGATCAGCAACAGTGCACACATTAACAATGTATTTTCGATATACTTTTATAATTTAAAAACATAACATAACAGAGTCGCCAAAATAGTCTTGTTATTTTAATGTACTGGGAACTTAAGGTTATTCAGTGAAAGTGCCGTTTGTTGTAGAAATTCAAACTCTTCGTTATGAAGGGGATAAAACACATGAAATCTCAGATAATTTTAGGACGTTTGTTGTACTTGTAAATATTCATCTTATCTGGTTCAACTCTAAAATGATGATCTCTGCAGATCAACTGTACTCGGGGTGGGGCGAGAGATATAGGGTGGGGTCGGGTAATAAGGTAAGAAGGTGTAACGTTGAGTAGGCTAGGGGGGGCGGTATAGGGTGGAGCTAAATATACTGTAGAAATGCACTGGTCATAAATGTATTGATGATGTGCCACCTTAACTCTATAACTAGAACTGTGATGAACTATCACGCAATGATTGAGTGTAACGGTCTATCGAGTGTGCATTTAAAAAACAAAACATAGATACAATTGTAATTCTTTAAGCCCCTTTATGTATGTTAAAAATATAATTATACAAACATGATGTTAAAATTCCACATTTAACTTACAAGTCTATTTAAAAAGGATACTCAAATAAAAACACAAGCTTTAGATCGAAACTAGAGGGAAATGGCTTCTTAATTCTAAGCCTTCAGTAAAAACATTTTTATAACTTAATCCTCTACACAAATAACGCGTTCGTGCGTTTGAAATAAATTATAAATGTACCTTTTAATTAGCTAGTCGTTTGACCTCACGGATACTAAAAATAGAACTAGAAGTCGTAACACTTGCACTGAGAAAGTTTGAGCATCGCTAAAACAGCTCAGCGCATGCGCATTAATTAATAATAACCCTATTTGTTTACATTCATAATTACCCGGGGTTAATTACATTGCATTATTTATGCGACATGACCTTTGAATAACTACATCGTGAGGTTGATAGAAAATTTAAGTTTAAAAATTGTTTGTAGAGAAGATAATGTAAATTTAGATCCGGTAATTAAGTATTGAAGGTTGGTTTCGTAATAGAGATGGGAAAAACGAAAAAAAAAATTAGTTTCACGTCGGAAGGTATACAGCCCCAGGTTAATTCTACCCCCCCCCCTCCCGTACCAGACAACAAGCAGCAGACGACGCCAAGAATAGAAACTTACATCTGCTCCACTGATGAACTCCATTGTTGATTCGTGGCCATCCAGCTGTACCGACACAATGGCGCCACTGTCGGAGTTTCTCACCTCATCGTCTTCTGTGGGCGAGACAAGAACAAAACATGTAGGCTACCAGTCTACATACCACATGCACATATATTACACACACACACACATATATATATATATATATATATATATATATATATATATATATATATATATATATATATATATATATATATATATATATATATATCCAGCTATATATATATGTGTGTCTGTGTATATTCATGTATATATATATATATATATATATATATATATATATATATATATATATATATATATATATATATATAAAGTGAACTAATAATATCATGGATTTTATACTGTCAGTAAAATACATGCCAGTTCAAAATAATAATGTTATGTAAATTCCTGATAAAAAACAGATGTTTATAAAAGACATTATTAATATGTCATGCGTGGTAGCATATTATATTACTTTGCTATCTTAACATTGACATCACTAGCACACTTTAACTTCGGGAGAAAAGGTAGAACCTTATTAAACTATCCTCATCGTGAGATAGGAAAAAAAGATTTTCTATATAGAATAAAAAGAAATTTTCTTTTTTTCTCATCGATAATGATTTAATTAAATTTAAAACATTTCAGGCTATTTTCGTTGGAAACATATTTCATTGCTAAACTGAAACAGAAAAAAAAAAGATCGTATAATTAAAATCCCAATTAGCCTCCTATTTCATCAGACTTAAGCGTGGGGAGAAAAAGAGGGGGGGGGGTGGTGTTGTTTCATCACTAGCGGGGTTTAGACATCTAATTAATCATTAGTGATGTTTTTTACTCTGACTTTCATTAGTGTTTTCTGTTCGTTAGTTAAAGGTGAGCTTAGAAAGGCGAGGTAGACACAAGTGAACACAAATATTGTTTTCAAAAAGAAAGATAACTCATTTATATAAATCGAAGAGGGAGAGCACTTGTTAGATAGATTTCATATTATTTCTGATCCTCCCAATACGTATAAAACAATGTTATACACAATGAAAAATCATTTAGCCAGGTATGTTAAATATATAATTTTATAAACATGATACTAAAATTCACATTCAACTTAACAAATATATTTTAAACGGATACTAAATTAAGAGCATCAACATAAAATAACAAAACGAGGGGAAATGACTTCTAGTAAATTTAACCTTAACAAATATCAATCATTAACGCGAAGTGGTTTCTTGCATTGGCAACACTATTAAATTTATACAATTTAAAAAAAAAAAAAAAAAAAAAAAACACTATTAAATTTATCCTCTCAACTTCCTCTTTCTCTAGCCCTCTTAGAATTCCCGTTTGGAAATTGCGGCAGTGACGTCACATCCTGCTCCTTGGACATACACGCAAACAAACTTGACCTCTCTCATTATTCCTTGTTTCCTATCCTCGCTTCCATTCGGGCAGACGGCTATTCCTTCACGAGACCTCTTGATGGCTTAATTCCTAATTAGGGCCCGTTGCCCTGCCCCAAGACCTGAGGTCCTTAAACCAACCCCCCCCCCACCCACCCTGTGGGACTTTAGCCGAAAGGTCAAAGCTATTAGTGAGTTGAAGTCACGAGGACGGAAAGAACCGGAAGTGAGAATAATTCAGGCAAGGACCACGGGTCTACCGTTAAATAAGTATTTCGCAATGCTGGGCTGACCTCAAAATACCCACAAGAGATCTGAACATTGTTTCGTTGAGTTATGAGGTTTAAGTTTCAGCTTTTGTGAAAAAAGACAATATGAATATTGGTCAAGGTAATTTAGTTTTTAAATGTGGCTAATATATGTGTAATGTTAATAGTTCGACTTCTAAAAATGTACCATGTTATTAAGCTCTCTAAATAACTTACAAAACCTGATTACAAATATGTTTACACTGGGTTTTAACAAAGAGGTTTTAGAAACCTCATTAAGACCTGCGATCACTAAAAGTCTTAAGACTTATCAGAAATGAATACATAGCTATCTCGTTTCGACTAGTTTTGGTAATGACCACAATAGTTCACGACTAGTGCTGACACGATTCTGGTATGTCGCACGTAACATTGTGATTATAATACAGCTTTAGTGGGGTACTGCCAAAACATTTTAACAGTTTATCAAAGCCAGACGGCTAACAAATTTTAACAAAGCCAGACGGCCAGCACATTTTAACAATGACATCTGTCTAATGTTAACAATGTCTGACTGGCCAGAAAATGTTAACAATGTCTGACTGGCCAGAAAATGTTAACAATGTCTGACTGGCCAGAAAATGTTAACAATGTCTGACTGGCCAGAAAATGTTAACAATGTCTGACTGGCCAGAAAATGTTAACAATGTCTGACTGGCCAGAAAATGTTAACAATGTCTGACTTCCTGCCACTTGAGTCGCGTGGCTGTCTGGAATGATCGATGCACGTGTATCAGTTCAGGGAGAGTGGCCAGTCGTGAGTAGAAATTGAAAAAAAAATGACCGAGAGAAAAAAATGGGATCGTTGTTGAGTAGACTGAGATAATGTAGTCTGGTGAGCAGTGTTACGATGTTTGATTGACTCATTACGTCAGCTAATGAAGGCGAACGTGCGAATTCGTGTGTACAAGTTCGTGGTCGTGTGTGTAAATATGTGTGTTTGGTGCTGGGTTAACGTGTATATGTGTTCGTTTTTAATATGACCCTTATTTAGTTTTTTTAAATACGAACGCTTAAAAATACATAAACGTTGCAGAATTGCACCGAGTAATACATGTTAAAAAAAACAACGTCAATGAAAGCACTAAATTTTTTAGAATAATGTTGGTCTTGGAATATACGAATTACACGCACGTTAAGTCTAGCAAGAACCCACATCGACCGTACCTCAACAAACCTCAACATCTACCACAACGCAACCATCTACAGCATTTATCGACACAAGTTATTACAAACCAGAAATAGCAAATCTTCCACCCCAGCCTCACCCTGGCTGTGAACATACGCCTATTGATCCCATCCTACCCACCCATCCCCTTCCCTGGTCTATCTTATCTCGTGGTTTCTCAAGACGACATTCATTGTTTTATTGACCTTTGACACGTATCGACCATTTTTACGTGGCCCGTGTCAAACTAAAACATGGCTATATGAGGAGGGAGGTGGTGGTAGATGTAAAACATGCTAATCAAGTGGGATAATGAATTAATGAAAGTTCTAAGCAACAATTTCTTGGCAGTTCTAAAAGTGTGTAGCACATTAGAAATGTCAAAAAAATAATTTTCAAGGAATATTTCCCTAATTTGCAATGATTACTTTTGTTCTCAAAAAATCTAATAAGATGATTGATTCCCATTGATTTAATTTTAACAGTGAAGGAAAAATAAAGTAAGCTGTTGCAAAATCTTACTTGTAATAAAAATGAAAAATACCGCGTATACCATTATTAGCTCATCATTATGTAAAGAAACAAACATACCATTTGTGTAATTTTAGTTTCTTGGGTTAAGTGAATTTATTAATAGTTTAATGTTGACCTCTAGTATAAAATGTATAAAATGAGTTACCAGGTTTTACATTACATTTTATATTGATCTCTAGTATAAAAGGTCAGACTTAAAAGATTGTAATATAAATGTAATGTTGACCTCTAGTATAAAATGCCAGACCTAGCAGGTTTAAATATAAATGTAATGTTGACCTCTAATATATAATGCCAGACTTACCAGGCAAGGACTCGCATCTTGTAAGCTGCTGGACCAGGGAGGTTTTCCCCACCCCCTGGGCACCCAGAACAAGGGTCCTGAAGTAGGAGGGGATGGCCACGTAGCTGTAGCTGTTGTCGAACTCATCAGCCGAGTCCACGCTGCTCTCTCTGTTGTTCTCCACAGAGGTGCTCCTGCTGCAGAAGTCCACGCTCCCGTGGGAGGTGTTCAGACTGCCGGAGGAGAGGAGGCTGTTGGAGCTGAGGGACTTTGAGAAGCTGCCCGAGTCCACGATGCCTTTGGATGTGGTTTTAAAGGAGCGGACGGTGCACAGAGGGCATTGTTTTCTGGACAAGGGCATGCTGATTCGAGCCTGGGAGTCCGTGCAGTCTGGGAGACTGACGCTGTTGGCTCTGGTCATCGTGTGGTTCCGTTTCTTGTCCCTCTTGACGCTGCCGCCGCGCCTGTTTCTCAGAGAGTTGCACCTGGACGACGGAGCTGAGGAGTAGACACGGCTGGGTACTGCGGTATCGTCTTTGGCTTTCATCTGATCCATTCTAGCTAGCATTGGTCTGTCTAGCATTGTAGCAGAAGCTATTTTTTAGCTATATCAACAGTATGTCCACTATATCGATTCTAAATAGAAGCACAACTCTACACTATTTATCAACAGTACTTGCTATTATAAAAGTTATATAAATGTAGTAAAAACAACACACAAAAAACTAAACACTGAAATCAAGATTCATGAAGGCACAAGCTCGAGCTGGTGAGCACTCAGGTTCGCGTGTCGGGTGAAGTTTGTATTGACGTGTGAGCTGGGAACCTCCACGCTTTTATACCCGCCACAGACCCGCGCCACTTATGACGTCAAACCAGGTCTGCCGTTTTCGATAAACCTGATTGGTCGATCCCATTCTATAGGTGATGTCAGTGCGTGGTTTTCTCAGGGCTGTTACTCAGTGGGGGTAGGGGTGGTGTGGGGAGCATTGAAACATGGGATAGGGTGAGTACAATGAAAGATTAAGGGGAAATCGGTGGTGGCAGGGTAGAAAATATTGAACTCGGGGGTCAGACTTCGTTCAAAAAAAATTTCATCACAGGGAATTTCCAATTTTCAACCTAAGAGCGTACTATAACTAGTCAGTTACAGGGGTAAAGGTGCTATCATTCAATTATCTTATCAAACATGACGTAAGCACCGGGCGATACCTTCTGCTCGCAGGTAGGTGATGGGGTGCCAAGAGAACGCACCAGGTAACCCCAGGTAGGTGACAGAGTGTGGAGAAAGTGCGGGGTAACCTTATTGTGTTGCTTCTGTGGGGGAGATTGTGTGGGGAATAGAGACGGCACCAAAAGAAAGCAAAACATTTCATCTCTTTGGAGCACTACCTGCTCACATCATATGCATGATATCCTTAGGCCTTACGACCCCCGTTTTATAGGGCACTCACGAAATCTTTGTACGTTGGTTGTATCTGTATCTATGTAGATAATGTCTGGTTGCTTAGGCTCTGCATGTGCATGCCTCCAACAATTGAATCAGAAAAACTTTAACACGTTGAATACATGTTAAACACAAATTCTGTATTTAGATGAGGGACGTACAATAAATTATTTACGTATAAATTCTAAAGGTGCCGATCTTTTAAAGGAATGAACAAGCGAATGTTTGGATTACAAATCCTGACCCACAGCATCCGTTTCCCATTGTCTGGCTTCTAAACCTACCTAGGCTCCCGGATGCAAAGAAATAGAAATAACCAATCAAATCCTCCCTTGTTGTGTGTGTCATTTTTAGCGTGAGTACCTATCCCAAACGTTGCTTGTCACTGCTTCTTTGTACATAACAACCTATAATTATCTTTTTGTTAGGTGTATTAATATGTTTTGGACGTATTGAACTACACTCCCTAATCTTGAGTAATCTGTAGCAACAAACGGTCTAAAATATTTACCTGCAATCCTTAGTATTAGCAAACATTGTTTAATTATATTTAAGTTTTTGGTTTAAATTTACAAACTTTTTAAAAAATAACATATATGTCTAAAGCTGAAAGATTTAGTAAATCTACGCACCGCTAAATATCAAACTTGTAACATCACACACACACACACATAAACATACAAACATACGTACGTCAAACAAAAAACACTAAGCATCACACAAAACATTCCGAAAACGTTCCTATTGAAGAAATGGTTTTGTTCGACATGTGTGTATCTTAAGATAGTACTAATATGATCTGGAATTGGATTTCTCTTAATTTAGTAAACAGGTCGTCATACAGCAAGTCATCATACTTTAGGACTTGCGTTTGTATGATGACCCTGAGTCCAACCAACTCTGACTCACGTTAGGGTAAGTAAAGACAGCTGGGTATAGTGCTGACCACATCAACCCTTAGTGTGGCGAAGTCAAGAAACATCAACTCTACTTCATATGTTCTTAGCAGGATTAAATATGAATCTTTTAATGGGACAGCATTAGCCAGAACGGCGCTAGAATACAGGTAAAACAGAGGTGTGTACAATATAATTACCGAGCATGACATCATTGTAGGGGGTGGGGGGGGGGGGTAATAACAAACGGTCACTAGATGTGTTAAAGAAATCAATCGACATGTCGGGGAAATGAAACTAATCGATACACGATTGAAGACGAGACACCGTGTAAGGTGGGGCAGACAGTAAAAATGTTGACATCCCAATAACGGTGGGCTCTTATAGTATGAGTTAGGGTTTAGTCCAGACCATAAGTTTTACGTTTAATGAGATAGGCTAAGCTAATTGAACATGCTATTAGTTAATTATGTATTTAGTTTGATGATATTGATTGAGCTAATATAGCACGATATAGCGCTATTGTTAAATTATGTATCCGGATTGATAAGACAGGTTGAGCTTATATAATACGCTATAGTTTAATTATGTAATTAGCTTGATGAGACTTTTTAGTTCCACATTTAGGATCAAATATATCTAAAACAGATGGTTGTTGCTCATTAGAAATTAGAAATGACTTGTTTCGTTATGATCCACTGATTATTTGTTGGCGTAATAAAATTCGAGTTGACGGATAATTAATCTGAATAAAAGATTGAATAGAAAATGGAATTTAAACCATGTTTCACAATCTCATCATAGAGGCATAGGATTCACTAACTGAACACATTGACAATAGTTCTACTATGATTCACTAACTGAACACATTGACAATAGTTCGACTTTGATTCACTAACTGAACACATTGACAATAGTTCGACTATGATTCACTAACTGAACACATTGACAATAGTTCTACTGTGATTCACTAACTGAACACATTGACAATAGTTCTACTATCATTCACTAACTGAACACATTGTCAATAGTTCTTCTATGATTCACTAACTGAACACATTGACAATAGTTCTACTATGATTCACTAACTGAACACATTGACAATAGTTCTACTATCATTCACTAACTGAACACATTGCCAATAGTTCTACTATCATTCACTAACTGAACACATTGACAATAGTTCTACTATCATTCACTAACTGAACACATTGACAATAGTTTTCTATGATTCACTAACTGAACACATTGACAATAGTTCTACTTTGATTCACTAACTGAACACATTGACAATAGTTCTACTATGATTCACTAACTGAACACATTGACAATAGTTCGACTTTGATTCACTAACTGAACACATTGACAATAGTTCGACTATGATTCACTAACTGAACACATTGATAATAGTTCTACTATGATTCACTAACTGAACACATTGACAATAGTTCTACTATCATTCACTAACTGAACACATTGACAATAGTTCTACTATCATTCACTAACTGAACACATTGACAATAGTTCTACTATGATTCACTAACTGAACACATTGACAATAGTTCTACTATGATTCGCTAACTGAACACATTGACAATAGTTCGACTTTGATTCACTAACTGAACACATTGACAATAGTTCGACTATGATTCACTAACTGAACAAATTGACAATAGTTCTTCTATGATTCACTAACTGAACACATTGACAATAGTTCTACTATGATTCACTAACTGAACACATTGACAATAGTTCTACTATGATTCGCTAACTGAACACATTGACAATAGTTCGACTTTGATTCACTAACTGAACACATTGACAATAGTTCGACTATGATTCGCTAACTGAACACATTGACAATAGTTCTATCATTCGCTAACTGAACACATTGACAATAGTTGTTCAAGAAATCGATTAGCGACTGTTTGCCGTAGAAACTAGCTGATAAGTTGATGTCACGTTATACATACGGCGTGGGTGATAGATCAATACTAGACTCTATTTTTAACTGATAATTTATGTTCAAGTTGATTCATTGAACTCTTAGTTCACCAGAGTTAATGTAAGTTTTTTGGACGATAAACAGAACAGTATCCCACATCAAGTTTTATGGGTCATCACTTTCACTTTGTGTACAGTAGTGTGTAGGAGGGTTGGATATTTCATCTTTACTAGCACATGTGTAATAAAACAAGAGATAAATATTACTTTGATGACGTTGATTTTAATTATTTATAGGCATAGGTTATTAATCGATATGTTTTACAATAGGCCCCTATTTTCTTCTTTTTCTAGCTCATGTGTTATTGATCTCATTATTCATAAAACCTCCTAAATGCTATTGAATACTCAGAAACCTCCAAACATGTGAATACATTGTTATGACTTAAAAGAAATGGTCTTTATGCTGGGGTTATGTGAAGGTAATCAGATGGTTGATAACAATATGTAAAGATAATAAATCATTTAGTTAATCAGATGGTTGATAACAATATGTAAAGATAATAAATCATTTAGTTCTGTCTTTTTCTCACCCCGCCTATGTCAACATAGTGTAGTATTGTCAATTTGCAACAATCCCATTTGCTTTTTCTCCACTTTCAAACTCAGTCCCAATAATTTTATACCATTTTCAATTACTCTGTCAGGTATTTTTATGGTCTAATTTTCCTTGCTCCATGATAGTCGTGTAATTCTTGTAACTGGTTTACTCAGTGTAGGACACATCTCCAACTTATTTTCTGAATGCCTTGCTCCACTGGGATTTGTCCTGTCGTGTACCGTAAAGTTGTGTTAAGTAATCTGTCCACTTTCTATTTAATATTCGCCGCGGGCAGCTACTTTAAAACATGTCATATTCCTCTTTTATTGATCGCAAACTTTTTGCACCGGAATGTGAAATATATTTTAGCCTTTTAATAAATTAAACTCGTAGTTGGGATTCATTAGCTATTTAGAGCTCAACAAACTTTTAAAGCGATTCAAAACCTGCTCTTCTGTATTCACACCGTGATGTTCGTTGGATAGCCTCCAGTTATTCAGACTCCTCAGGTACATTCTGTTTATAAATTTGTTTTTATTTAACTAAACAACAATACTCAGTTATTGGTGAACTAGCATGCATTACACAACCCATGTCGGGGTACTCGTAGCCACTTTTGAGACGCACTCGTCTAGACGTGTTGGGTGTGTCATTAAGACACACGGATCTTACACGTTTAAAAAAAAAATCTCTTACATCGGCCTACATTTTGTTTATAAATATCGAGCTAGAAGAAAATATCCTGCTATACAGGAAAAGGTTACATCCCTTTTAAGTGTATGTCATAGATTATATTGCCCCCCGGGAGCTGAAAGGTCACATGGAAAAGGTCCTAATACCTTCACTTGCTCAACATCCCGGATATGGTCTACTTTTCTCAACGATATCGCTCGCTATTTTC